AGATTTCATTGATGCTTTCCTTTCTCCATTTATTGCCTTTCTGAAATGATTAAGGAAAAAAAAGCTCTTTCTAGGAAGGCAGTTCATGACAGTTATATATGCTGGTCTCTTAGACACACATCTATAATTCTGTATTGAGGTCCAAACAAATGACAGCAGCAGGCTTCTAACATGTGTTTGACTTGTTTTGTTTAAGGCCCTTTATATAAGCAAGGCCCACACAATACTTTTCAGAAAGAGAAAAAGCATCTAGTTGATGAAGAAAGGTACTAACTCTCATACCAGGTGGTGGTGGGCAGGGTCTTGTTGGAGTTCCGATCTTTGGTGGCAGTGCTGGGGGTACATCTTCACTTTTGACTGATGTTTCCTCAAACACATTTTTTGTAATAACCACATTGCTGACAGAGCTCAATGTGGCTGAACTAAAAGGATCTTCATTGTTGACCTTGTTTAAAAAGAAATGTTTTACACATGGTTATGTATATATATACACATATGTGTATGTATATATATATGTATTTTTTTTAAACAAAGCAGACTGTGTGCATGGTCACGTAGCACTTAGAAGAATTATTTAAGTATTATGCAGCTTTATTTATTTCAATTCTGAGACCACTGACATTTTAACCTTTGCATTCAGGGCCGAATGTGAGAAATTAAAAAAAAAATTGTTCTATAGGAGTAGTGACTCTAACATCATAACTTATTAAGAGCAACAGATCAAACCAAACCAAGCCAATTCTAGATTAAAGGTTCGTCAAGTTTTAGCCAATATTCAATTACAACACCATCTGGGTACCATTTTATTTTTAATTTTTTTCCTAAACATTATGCTACAAGAAGTACTGAGCCCCATTTTAAAGGGATTGTATGACTTTCCTCAAATGAATACCTGATCCAAATGATAATCAAAGAAAAAAAAACTGATTCTACACTTCCCAATGCACTTAAATATAAGAAAGATTTAATACTAATGCAAAGAAAATGGCATCTTGATAAACTATAAAGACAACCTGAAAGTCAACTTTTTGAAGCAAACTGATCCCATGAATGATAAGTCTTAATGTGTGTCTAAAGACCCTGCTTTTTGCATATGTGGAGTAATGGAAAATTCACTTTTCTATAATGAATCAGATTTGACAACTGTACATCTGTTTAGGCCAGTGTTTCTCAACAGTGACAATACTGACATATTAGGCTGGACATAACTGTATGTTGTGGGGGGGCTAGACAGTAGATTGTAGGATGTTTAACAGCATCCGTGGCCTCTATCCCCACCTAGTTTTGCCAGCCAAAAATGTCTTCGACATTGCCAAACATTCCTTAGGGGACAAAATAACCACCAGTTGAGAAGCAATGATATAGACAATTTGACATACACTCTAATCCTTCTCTCTTGGCCTGAATCAATACTAGAGCTATACT